CAGAAGCAGGGAAGTTAATTACATCAGTCTCCGAACGTTTCCATGTTGTGCCAGTTGTAGTTAAGGCTTGAATAACCTCATCAGGATCAACACCCTCGTCACGAAGTCTAGAGTACTCGTCATTTTCAATATCTTGCAAATGATAAAACCTGTTGATGGAGGTTCTATCAAACGGTATCCATTTACCCCGCACAAACACTCGAAAATCTCGATGCTCCTTTGCATTGGCGTAGAACTCTCTAACAACCGGAATTAGCGCCGGTCGTGGCTGCCGAGCAAACACCTCCCAATTCCTCCGACCTATTTGCTCTGTCATATAATTGTCAAAACCACGTTCAGGAATACAGGTCTTGTGTACCACCAAGCTATTATAACGTTCAGCGGCCTCGGCACTAATGAATTTGCTCCTGTCAAATGAGCTAGAAGAGGAGGCTGCGGCTTTAGTTCTCTTTTTAGGCGGCATTGGACCTGTACAAGGGTAGAACAGCAAACCATGAGCAAAAACAGTAATAAAGGACAATAAGGCAAGGCTAAAAATCTAGCCATAAGAGGAAACTATGGTCAAACGTGCAATTGATGTACTCTAAACCCAATTGTCAACTCATAATCATCTACATGGCAATTCCCACATAATTCAATTAGCACAATAGCCAAAATAGCTCCTTCTACCCAACTAAGTTCACCTAGACAATTCATCAAACACATTGAATGCACCAAATTTCCACCAAAAAATTGCCTATAAGTTGGGAGTAGTTCATGCCACAATATTCGCACAACACACAAAGTTCTTGACACTACTACAAGGCAAGCCCTCCTCGTAACATAATTAACAAAAATAGGCACATAAACGCAACAACTATAATGTAAGAGGAGCAAATACAAAAGTCATACCTGGAATGGTGTTGTGGAAACTAATTGGGATGGATGAATGCACACTTATCAACAAAGAGATGTGGAAAAACAACAAAGGGGAGTGGTAGGGGGGCCAAAAAAATGTGGAATTGAAAAAAAAAATGTGATGTGGGTGAGGTGATAATATAAATTTAACCAAAAACAAAACTAAAAAAAAGAAAGAGAGGGGAAGAGTTTACCTTGGAGGGGTTGAGGTGGAGAAGAAAAAAAGGTAAAGGCAAGGGTTAGGGGGAGAAGATGAGAGGGAAGAGGGAAGAGATGAGAGGGAAAGAGGGTTGGGGAAAATCGTATGAGGGATGGGGACTTAGGGTATAAGAAATAGACAAGAAAGAAAGAAAGAAAGAAGAAAAAAAAATAAAAAAAATGAGGGGGGGACGCGTTTCTGCCCGAAACGCAAAGGTGCGCCTAGGCGCTGCGTTTCTGCCAAAATTGGCAGAACCCAGCGCCTGGGCGCTGCGAACTCAGCGCCTAGGCGCTGAGTTTCTGCCTTCGTTTTGTAAAAAAATTTTTTTTTTTACCTCACCCTTTTTCACACTCATTCATTTTCATTGTAGAGTTCAAATTTCGCGATATGTAACCTTCATGGATTCTCCTACAAAAGCAAGAGAAAGAGTTACTACGATAGTATAAATTATTAAAGGAAGAAAACAAAATCAAAGCATAAACCAATAATCAAATAAAGAATAGAGCTTGGGTTGCCTCCCAAGAAGCGCTTCTTTTACGTCATTAGCTGGACGTAGTGCCGCAGTTATTCGGGAATAGCTAGATCCAGACTCTCTTTAGCGGTGGGAAAATCTTCCACATAATGCTTGATGCGTTGACCATTTACTTTGAAATTTCCTTTAGTTGGATGGTGTAATTCAACTGTCCTGTAGGGAAACACCTGAGAGACCATAAAAGGGCCGGACCATCGAGACTTCAATTTTCCTGGGAAAAGTTTAAGCCGGGAATTGTATAATAGCACTTGATCCCCTACTCGAAAAATTCGTTGCCTGATGTTCTTGTCATGCCACTGCTTTGTCCTTTCCTTATAGATGGATGCATTCTCATATGCCTCTCTTCTGAATTCCTCCAACTCATTTAGCTGTAGTATTCTTGTTTCTTCAGCCTTATCGAGGTCCATGTTTAACTGCTTCAATGCCCAATACGCTCTGTGCTCAAATTCCACTGGTAGGTGGCATGCTTTCCCAAAGACTAGTCCGTATGGGGACATTCCTATAGGCGTCTTGTAAGCTGTGCGATATGCCCATAAAGCATCGTCCAATTTTTTTGACCAATCCTTGCGAGATGCATTCACAGTGACCTCCAAAATTCTTTTCAATTGTTTGTTTGATGTTTCCACTTGTCCACTAGTCTGAGGGTGATAAGGAGTGGCAATTCGATGTTGTACTCCGTACTTATGCAAAACTGCTTGGAATAACCGATTGCGGAAGTGCGTTCCACCATCACTTATAATTGCCCTAGGTGATCCATATCGGTTAAATATGTGTTTCTTTATGAAGTCGACCACCACCCTTGCGTCATTAGTAGGCAATGCTTTAGCTTCTACCCATTTTGAAACATAATCCACCGCGACCAGGATGTACCGATTGTTGTAAGATGATGGAAACGGACCCATAAAATCAACCCCCCAAACATCAAATATTTCCACTTCCAAAATGTTGTTAAGTGGCATCTCGTGACACGCTGATATGTTACCAGTTCTTTGACACTTATCGCATGACCTACAGAAACTATGGCAATCCTTGAACAATGTAGGCCAAAAGAAACCACATTGGAGCACCTTTGCTGCTGTTTTAGTGGGGCCAAAGTGCCCTCCATAAGCCGAAGCATGTACTCGTGAGAGGATCGGTTTCATTTCATCCTCAAGCACACATCTCCTAATGATCTGGTCCGCCCCTCTCCTATACAAGTTTGGATCATCCCAGTAATAGAATTTCGCTTCATGACTGAGCTTATTCTTTTGCTGATAGGTGAGATCCGGATCCATATAGCCACTGGCTAAGTAATTAACAATGTCTGCATACCACGGAGCTTTTTCTACCAGCAGTAACTGTTCATCTGGGAAGACCTCATTGATATTCATATTATCTGAATTCTGATGTTGCTCTATCCTTGACAAGTGATCTGCTACCTGATTTTTTGTTCCTTTTTTATCACGAATCTCGATGTCAAATTCTTGTAGTAACAGCACCCAGCGAATTAGCCTTGGTTTCGCATCCTTCTTCTCAAACAAATATTTCAGAGCTGCATGGTCTGTATAAACTATCACTTTGGACCCAATCAGATAAGAACGGAATTTGTCAAAAGCGAAAACAACTGCAAGCAATTCCTTTTCAGTTGTTGCATAGTTGATCTGAGCATCATTCAATGTTTTGCTAGCATAGTAGACAACATGAAATACTTTTTCGTTGCGTTGTCCAAGTACTGCCCCCACTACAAAGTCACTGGCGTCACACATGAGCTCAAAAGGCAATTCCCAATCTGGAGCCACTATCACAGGTGCCGATGTCAATTTTTCTTTCAAAATGTTGAAGGCTTTCAAACACTCCTCAGAAAATTGAAAGGGTATATCTTTCTCTAGCAAGTTGCACAACGGTTTTGTAATTTTTGCGAAGTCTTGAATGAATCTTCTATAAAATCCTGCATGTCCCAGAAAACTCCTGATCCCCTTTACTGAATTAGGTGGCTGCATTTTCTCAATTACCTGTATTTTGGCTTTGTCCACTTCAATCCCCTGTGCAGAAATTCTATGTCCCAGTACTATTCCTTCCTTTATCATGAAATGACATTTTTCCCAATTAAGCACAAGGTTCTTCTCCTCACATCTTTGCAATACAAGAGCCAACCGCTCCAAGCAACCGTCAAAGGAATCTCCAAACACAGAAAAATCATCCATAAAAACCTCAATGTACTTTTCTACCATGTCAGAAAAGATAGCCATCATGCATCGTTGAAAGGTTGCCGGTGCATTGCATAAACTAAAAGGCATTCTTCTAAACGCAAATGTTCCATAAGGGCATGTGAAGGTTGTCTTCTCTTAGTCTTCTGGAGCAATTACTATCTGATTATACCCTGAATATCCGTCCAGAAAGCAATAATGAGAATGTCCTGCCAACCTTTCCAACATCTGATCAATGAATGGCAATGGAAAATGGTCTTTTCTGGTTGCATTATTTAGCTTTCTATAATCTATGCAAACCCTCCACCCTGTCACTAATTGTGTTGGTATCAGCTCGTTGTTCTCGTTCTTCTCCACTGTGATTCCATCCTTTTTAGGTACAACATGTACAGGACTCACCCACGAACTATCAGATATGGGATAAATTATTCCTGCATCCAATAATTTAAGCACTTCTTTTCGCACTACTTCTTTCAAGGTTGGATTCAATCGGCGTTGTCCTTCCACTGATGCCCTCGACCCGTCCTCCATTAGAATCTTGTGCATGCAAAGAGTTGGACTGATCCCTCTTATATCTGCTATTGTCCATCCAATTGCCGTTTTGTGTTGCCTGAGTACCTCCAACAATTTATTCTCATCTTCCCTTGTCATATCATTTGCAATGATTACTGGCAGTGTTGACGATTCTTCCAAATATGCATACCGAAGATGGGAAGGTAAGGGCTTAAGTTCAAGAGTAGGTGCCTTTTCCACGGAGGGTACCGGGGGAGAAGGGTTGTCTCCTAGAGATTTACACTGCCAATGCCTTCTTCCTATGGGTTGCTCGGCTAAGTTGATAATACATTCAGCTTTTCTTGCATTTGTTGCTTCCAATTGTGCAAATTCTGCCTCACAAAGATTTGTGTGATGCTCTATATCGAATGTATCCACCACAAGCTCTTCAAGAACATCAACTTGGCAGCAAGTGTCGGAAGTCAATGGGTGTTTCATTGCCTTGAACACGTTGAATATGATTTGCTCATTATCCACTCTAAGAATCATTTTTCCATCATACACATCAATCAATGCTCTCCCAGTAGCCAAGAACGGTCTTCCCAAGATCAGAGGAATATTTGAGTCCTCTTCCATGTCCAAAATGATGAAATCAGCCGGAAAAATAAATTTGTCGACTTTAACCAGCACATCTTCAATAATTCCCTTTGGTCGTTTGATCGATCTGTCTGCCAGTTGCAACGAGATTGTTGTAGGTTTTGCTTCTCCTAATCCAAGAGACCTGTAAATAGAGAGAGGCATCAAATTAACACTGGCACCTAAATCACATAAAGAATGTTCAAAGAAATTAGAACCAATTGTGCAAGGTATAGTGAAATTTCCTGGGTCTTTTAGCTTAGGAGGTAGCTTTCTCAATAGTATTGCACTGCACTCCTCGTTCAAGCATACTATCTCATGTTCTTCCAGCTTCCTTTTGTTAGATAGGATCTCTTTCAAGAATTTTGCATAGCTGGGCATTTGGGCAATTGCGTCTGCAAAAGGAATATTGATGTGCAGTTTCTTGAAAATCTCCACAAACTTGGCAAACTGATTATCCAACTTCTTTCTTTGTAACCTTTGAGGGAATGGAATTGGTGGCACATAAGCCTTCACGGGGCTGGGTGCTCTCACTGCAGGTGTTTCCTTCCTTTC